TTCACATCCTTGGCAAGGACGAACGGTTCGTCTTTGTACCCAATATTGTTGAGGTCCACGATTGTCATTCCATACTGGTTGTCGACTGCTACCCCGCCTCCAGTCGTCTTTACCCATTGGCACTTGAACAAAGGTACCTTAAAAGTAGGTGCATAGTTTAGTTCCCATATCTCCTCTATGCGGCCATAATATGTTTGCTTATTTCCATTAGGGTCGGTGGCATCTATGCGGACACCACTGTTTTGGTTGGTGCTCCTTTTATCTTGGGCTATTGTGTAAAATATATTCCCATTTATCTCATACCCTTTGTATGTGAGGATATGCCACGATGGTTGTCTAGCCAACAAATACAATTGCTCATCAATACTCTCATCACCCTGACATTCTTTTCGCAACCAGTCGCTGAAAGTTTCCATGTGCTGACGCGGAATCCAAGCTTCAGACTTCCCTGGAAACTCGGATCGGAGCAACTCTTTATGTGTCTCGATATACGGATCCACCAAGGAGGAGTTTTGTAGAACTGTGTAGTGTGCTTTATTAAAATAATTGTCCTGCATACCAATATATGTTTTCTTCCCTAGTGTCCCCTTTCCACTTAGTCTCCCCTCGTGTCGCAATTCAGGAACACCAACCGGGTCAAGGTCGGAAATAAAGTCAACACAAAACTCAATGACCTCCTCTGTTCCATAGCCCTTGGCGATGCTTTCTTCTGGCCGAGCACGATTGTGAACATATTTCTTTAGGACTCCCATGAACCTCTCAAAGGGGAACATGTTGTGCAGGAACACAGGACCAAGAATGCTAATCTCCTTGACCAGGTGAACTAGGAGGTGTGTCATGATATTAAAGAAGGAAGGAGGGAACACCAACTCAAAGCTGACAAGACATTGAACCACATCATTCTGTAGTTTACCTAGATCCATTGGATCGATTGCCTTCTGAGAAATTGCATTGAGGAATGCACATAGCTTCACGGTGGCTAGACGTACATTTGGAGGTAGAATTCCTCTTAATGCAACTAGAAGCAATTGCGTCATGAGCACGTGGCAGTCATGGGACTTTAAGTTTAGGAATTTCTTCTCTGGCATATTTATTATACCCTTTATATTCGAGGAGAATCCAGATGATACCTTGATGCTTGCTAGGCATTCAAACATGCTTTCCTTCTCTTCTTTGCTAAGAGTGTAGCTGACAGGACTTAAGTAATGGCGTCCATCATCTGTCTTCTCTGGATGTAGGTTGTCTCATTCTTTCAAACATCGCAGGTCCTATCATGCTTCAAGTGTATCCTTAGGCTTCCCATACACACCCATGAAGCCTAGCAGGTTCACACAAAGATTCTTCATCAGGTGCATCACGTCGATCACGCTACGGACCTCTAGGACTTGCCAATAGGGTAGCTCCCAAAATATAGACTTCTTCTTCCACATGGATGCGTGACCGTCGGTGTCGTTCGGAACAGGTTCGCTGCCATGTGCCTTTCCAAATATTACTTTCACATCCTTGACCATATTGAGTACATCCTCACCAGTTCGGTTGCCTGGCTTGGACTGGTGGTCTGCCTTACCTTTAAAATGCTTACCTTTCTTTCTTAGGGGGTGATTCGCAGGAAGAAATCGACGATGGCCAAGGTACACGACATTTTGACATTTTATCAAGAATATACCTTTAATGTCATCGAAACAGTGCATGCATGCATTATATCCCTTGTTTGATTGTCCTAAAAGATTACTTAGAGTAGGCCAATCATTGATTGTTATGAACAACAATGCTCACAGGTCGAAGTGCTCATGTTTGTGCTCATCCCACACACGTACACCTGGTCTGTTCCACAAAAGTAGAAGTTCTTCAACTAGTGGCCTCAGGTACACATCTATGTCGTTGCCAGGTTGCCTTGGACTTTGAATGAGAACTGGCATCATAATAAACTTATGCTTCATGCATAACCAGGGAGGTAGATTGTAGATACATAGAGTAACAGGCCAAGTGCTATGACTACTGCTCTGCTCCCCGAAAGGATTCATACCATCTATACTTAAAGCAAACCTTAAGTTTCTTGCGTCATTTGCAAACTCCGAGAATTCTCTATCGATTGCTCTCCACTGAGACCCATCAGTAGGGTGTCTCAACATATTGTCTACCTTACGGTCTTCTTTGTGTCATCGCAATAACTTTGTATGGTCTTTGTTTCTGAACAGACGTTTCAAGCATGGTATTATAGGAGCATACCACATAATCTTGGCAGGGATTTTCTTCGTGGGACGTTCGCCCTCAACATCACCAGGGTCATCTCGCCTGATCTTATACCGCGATGCATGACATACCGGGCATGCATCTAACTTCTCGTACTCCTCACCACGGTAGAGGATGCAGTCATTAGAACATGCATGTATCTTCTAGATTTCTAATCCCAAAGGGCAGACTACCTGTTTTGCTTCGTACGTAGTGACGGGCAATTCATTATCCTTTGGAAGCATCTTCTTTTGGATTTTCAGTAACTCCCCAAATCCCTTGTCAGATACACCATTCTTTGCCTTCTATTGCAGCAATTCCAGTGTGGTACCCAACTTTTTCTGTCCCGCATCACAAGTTGGGTATATCAATTTCTTGTGATCCTCTAGCATGCGCTCAAACTTGATCTTCTCCTTTTCACTTTCGCATTCTCTTTGTGTGCCACGAATGGCCTGACCAAGATCATCAGTGGGCTCATCTTCTGCCACTACCTCTTCTTCAGCTTCCCCCATTGCAGTATCATTGAAGGCACCATATTCAGCAATAATGTCATCATCATCATCCCATTGTTCTTCTTCACCTTCTTTCATTACAACCCCAGTTTCTCCGTGCTTTGTCCAACAAATATAGTTTGACATGAAACCCGACTTCAACAAGTGTGAATGAAGACTCCTTGAGCTAGCATATTCCTTCAAATTCTTACATATGACACATGGGCAGCACATGAAACCATCGCGTTTGTTTGCCTCGGCCACACGTAAGAAAGAATGCACGTCCTCAATGAACTCTTAGGAGCGGCGATCAACATTGTATATCCAATGTCGGCTCATCTGCATTACATGACATACATACCATATTAAAACCTAGAATATAATTAGTTAATTATACGACATGCATGCCACCACACAAGGTATTAATTTATGAAAGTCTCGCTACAATGTAGACAATCCCAACTACCACTAAAAAAACTAAAGCTAAAATGTACTTCAGCAGCATAAAGATTTCGCGACCAATCCCAACTAAAACAGACAGATGATGCATTTGTTCAACATCTATGGGCTTCTTCCGCAGGATCACTGCCTCATCAGCCGCCGTAGCCGCCTGTGCAAGAGAGTTTTGCACGTGTTCAACATACTCTTCCTCCCAGTACCAGCCTGAACATCCAGTGCCATCCCACTGAAATTAAAATAAAAAATTAGAACTTTAATTACAATCATCATGAAAATAAGTATAAATTAACCATAATCATCAAATGCGACAAAATAACTCACATTGCGATCCGGACACTTGTAGAATATACGGCCCGTGGTGGGACACTCCTTCCTCACCCGGTACTCCATCACAATCTTCTCCTCACACTTGCCGCATGCAATGAGAGGAAGGTCCGGCCTCAGTCGCTTTGTAACCCGATGAGAGGCCGAGGACCCGGAAGCATTTGCCATCTACTCTCTATACTCATTTTTAATATAATATAAATTTCTCATTTTATAAACAAATAAAATTAAAAAACTCTAAAATTCTCTATATCTCTAAAGCATGAAGTGTGCTATGCATGCTAGAAATGAAAGCTCAATAATAGTTTTGAATAAATACTTTAACCTTTCTTCATCCAAATACACAAACTTTAAAGTGATTTTGAGCTTAAATGGCTTACAAATAAAAAAAATCTATCATAAAAAACCACATATATCTAGTCCATAAAATAAAAATAAGCTACAGATAAAACACGAGAGTATAAAGTTGGTAACCTTTAGAACCGATGGAGGAATGGAAGAAATCTTGTGATACACCGGTGATGAGGAAGAAGAGAGGCCGGCGATAGCAAGAGAACACTGAGCTCGAAGTGGCTCGGGCTCGGGGAGGAACAAGGGCTATATAGGAGGGTACCTTTAGTCCCGGTTAGAGACAGAAACCGAGACTAAAGGTCCATTTCTAGTTCCGGATAGAGCCTCCAGCCGGGAGTAGACTTTTACTCCCGGTTGGAGGCACCAACCGGGAGTAAAAGTTAACCTTTAGTCCTGGTTGGTAGCTCCAACCGGGACTAAAGGTCCTCTCCAGCAAAAGCCTGGCGCAATAGCCGTTGGGAGGGACCTTTAGTCCCGATTGGATCTACAAACCGCGACTAAAGGTCTCTCTAGTTCCGGACGCGAAAAATACCGGAACTAAAACCAAATTTCAAGCCGGATCAAAGGTCATTTCTCTACTAGCGATCATTCTTCGATTTTGAGTGGTTATACAGTTCGATTCGATCTATTGCCTAGCGGTATTTAATTTATGGTCGATCTGGTGTCGGTGTGGCATGAGTTTTGGATCCTCATGCATGAGGAACGTTGTTTGTACATGTGATGCAGTTTTATGGTAGGGCTTGTGTATATTTGCATAGTAAAGACACTAAAGACAGTTTTGATTTGGTCCGTGATATGTTTGTATTCAATTTAGAGATCTTTTGGATTGGATCTGGATCTTTGGCCGATTTCTTTTTTCCTTCTCTTTGTCCGAGGGCCGAGGCTATGTACCGTACGGACTAAGTCTCCACCCCTTCTTATATAAGAGGAAGAGATGCCAGACGGAAAAACTACCAGACTGGAAAAATTAAGCTGAAATTTTGCCTCTTTAGTAGATGTCTATACGTACGAAATAATATTGAATAGTAAACAATAGTTGTATGTATACATATGAGCTTAGACTCCATTTCAATTCTTCTCTGCCGCTTTGCAAGATAAAATAAACATACACACAAATGCAATCAATGTGTTTGTGAGCGCTAATTAATTCACTCTCCGGCAGTTGACCCTGATCTCGCCGTCGGTGCCGGTGAGCGGGCTAAGGTTGCCCATCTTGACCATGGCCGCGGCGAAGTCGCTCCCCCACTGGTCGGCGCTGGACGCGTAGGTTCTGACGAGGCCGTCCGTCGCGCCACCGCCGCCGCCGAAGAGCGCCTGGTCGGAGTGGAGCAGGCCGCGCTGGGAGAGCAGGTTGCCGAAGTAGGCGTTGTCGAAGGCGTCCGGCGTGGAGCCGTCGAGCGGCTCGAGCGCGCCGTCGCTGGCGCCGCCGGCCTGCGCGGGGCAGCTGGCCCGCAGCGACGCCGCGTAGGTGGCGTCGATGTCGGCGTCGTTGTAGATCCGGGCCCGGAAGTTCTTGCACTGCGCCCGGCCGACGGTGTGGGCACCTGCAACGTGTGGTGAGCCGTGGGCGGTGAGGCATGCAACGCAATCATGCATGGAGACGGAAATCTTGCTCTGCTGTCGCGTGCATGCATGATTGTTGCATGGCGGTAGAAGCAGCTGGTAGTTGGGCTGTCGATCGCGTGATCGATGATGGTCATGCACGTAGTACTCGGTTGGTGACGCCTAGTCGCCTACGCGTCCAAATATTCCTGTTGGCTGTCGAACTTCAGCAGACTCCTGTCGGTTGCTGAAAACCGACAAGATTGAGTAAAAATATTCCTGTCGGCTACTGAAAACCCACAGGAAATATAAAAACCGACAGGAACAGGCCCGTGACTCCTGACGGCCCGGCCCAACCGACAGGAGTCCTCCCCGCGGCTGATGCGAACAAAATTTCGCGCGCGAGGCCCAGCGAAAAAATTGAGGACGTGCCTTTTTCCCCATGCTACAGTACTATGGTCCCACAAGGAAAATAATAAAAGACATCGCCAAACCCTAGCTTACATCTGCCCGTCCCCATCTCCTTCACCTACCGCCACCAAGCTTCTATCGCGCCCGTCTCGGCTTCGAGTGTCTCCCTGCCGCCCCAGGAGCTCCCGGCCGCCGGCACCATCAGCGCCCCCAGGGGCCTCCCCAACGCCTGCGCCACCGCCCCCAGGGGCCTCCCCGACTCCAAGCCGCCGTCGCCCCGACGAGCTCCCCATCGCCCACACCACCCCCTCCCCAACGGGCTCTCGCCGCACTGAGGGGCTCCAAGACGCCCGCGCCGCCATCGCCCCGGTGGGCTCCTCGACACCCGCGTCGCCTCCCTGAGCGGCTCCTCGACGTCCGCGCGCCGCCCCAAGGGCCTCCCCGACCTAATACAACCGCTACCCACGGCGCCGACCCCAGGGGCTTCCCGCCGCCCGCGCCGCTGAGGTGCTCTCTCTCTCTCTCTCCCAACCTCACCCTCTCAGATCTGCTACCTATTTCCTTTTCCTGATGGGATCTATGTTCACAATTGCATAAAACTGATGAGATCTATGTTTTGGTTTAGATTTAGAACTAGCAAACTGTTGATCCCATAATATCTTGAGCTAATTTAAGTGTTGTGGAGATTGTATCAACTGGACCAAGGATTTGTTTCTTCTGGCTATAAGTAATCAGTTAGTTAATTATTTAATAAGAGCTTTCTTGCTTTATTTCTTGTACTGATATGTTGGTGTTTGGATTTTGGCACATGAATGTGATGAATTACATGTTCTTGATGGATTACTTGTTGCTTCAATGTGTACTGTGTCTTGTGAGTGGACAAATCAATTTGTAGAATTGATAGATTATGTCCCTCACGCATATCAATTTTATACTGCCAAATTCAATTTCCTGTCGGCCTGAACATTTTTTTCCTATCGGTTGAATGTCAGGAATGGTTAAGACATTTCCTGTCGGGAATTCCTGACGGGTGTACAGTCGGGTTGCTGGGTTGACTGGTCAAACCAGAACCGTCAGGAACTGCCGTCAGGAAATATATCCTGTCGGCTAGCCGTTAGGAAACAGTCATCTTTCCAGCCGAGTCATTCCTGTCGGTTGATTCCTGATGGCCAGCCGTCAGGAATTGCATTTCTGACGGTTTTTGCCTTTTTCTGACGGTTTTGGGCCATCATGAATTTCCTACTCTGTGCTAGTGTACGTCGTCCATGCATCACCATGTTGAATTGATCCGCTAATGCAAACGAACAATGATGCATCGTCATGCATGTACGATGTATGTATATTAAATATGCATATAGATGATGTGCGCTGCACAATCATATGAAGTCGAGATGAAGCAGACAATTGCTACCGAGTAAAGGAAAACAGAACGCAACAACATACTGGCAGCCATGCGTACGTGTGCACGTACGTACCGGTACGTACTTGAGATCTTGAGAGCTGTTCTTAGATTAAGGAATGACGATATTCCGGGCTCCAGTATCTACGAGTGCAAGACTATAGATGATCTGGTTATATGCATATATATAAGTATATATAGTCATTTGGTCGCACTGCCTGGCCTGGAACGAGTGCAAGATCGAGCTAGTTTGCTGCCGCGTCGATATCAATTGCCTGTGCATGCAATTTAGTTTATTTTTTACTAGGACATACCATGTGCTCGAGCTAGCTAGCTGTGGATGATTTGCTGCACCGCCCAATGCAGTGTGGTGAAGCAAAGATCTATGATGGGACGTGCCATCCGCCATCTTAGCCTGCCTGCCTGCTGCTAATCTATGCATGCATGCATTGCATGTGAAGCAGGAAAAAGGAGATCGGCCAGATTTCAATCTTCGCAGTCATGTAACATGTGTCAATGATGCATTCTAGCTACCTCGTGCATGCATGTGTAGTACCTGAGAGGGCAACCATGTCGGTGCTGCTCAAACCCTTGTTGGAGAAAGCGTTGAGGAGGCCGTTGAGGTTGCTGGTGGGTCCGGGCAGGTCACTGTTGGCCAGGGACGCGCTCGCCGTGGTGGCGTCCCTCCTGCCCAAGGGAACCGACCACGATGGTCCTCCCAGCTGCACCAGCACGTTCAGAGAATCACTTTTAAGCTTTTCGATCGACCTCAGCTATGATCGATATCGATATAAACTAATCATGCATTTCATTTCTAAGTTCGACGTGTGGGAAAGTGGATCGATCGGAGAGCTGAGCATCATCTGTGTGTCTGTTCAGTTCATCTGTTATATATAGGCTGCTAGCTGACAGATTCATGCTCGACCATATTTTCCGACTCAATTATGTGCAAGTGAAAAAGAATTTATCGAAAGCAACTCAGACACTCAGTGGAATGTAAAACAGTTTAGGCGAAATTACAGAGGTGTGTGCCTTCATTTACAGTTGATCGATCGATGGTACCGGGTGGTGTGGCTTGGCGGCTTACTTGTGCAACGGAGTCGCGGGCGGCGACGGCGAGGATGTCGGCGCAGGAGACGGTCTGCGGGCACAGCAGCTCCAGCAGCGTCTTGATGTTGTCGATCACGTCGAAGCCGCGAAGCGACCCCGCGTTCGGCCCCGCTCCCTTCTCGCCGGTGAAGCTCGCCGTGTCGTCTAGCAGCACCGACGCGTCGCAACCCTGCCGGCCGTACGTACGTGCATATAAACAAATCCGTAGTAGATCCACACACTTCTATCGCGGTGAAGCTCGCCGTGTCACTCTGCTAGCTACTAGTAATCCACACTTACTATGAATTCATCTAGCTATAGCTAGGCAGGACAGACGACGACGATCCGGTGATAGATGGAGATGATGATTTACCTGCACGAAGCAGTCGTGGAAGTGGAGGCGGAGAAGGGAGGCCCCCATGCGGCTGTCCAGCAGCACGGCCGTCGAAACGGCGGTATTGATGGTGAGGAGGGCGGCGGGGCAGGAGGCGTCGTAGTAGTCCTCCGACGACAGCTGCGCGCTGGCCACCGCGGCGGTCGTCGCCAGTGCAAGGATCAAGGTCATCAAGCAGCAGTGACGAGGGAGAGGCCGCGACCGCGAGAGGTGCTTCTTGGGAGAAGCTGCAGGAGCCATGTCGCAGTCGAGGGGTGTCATGGCATGCACTGTCCTCCAATAACTCTGGTTTGGGAATTGGGATCGGAGTAGACTGCAGAGCAGTGGAAGAGGCCAGAGCTTCTATTTATAGATAGATATAGGCAACAAGGAATATCGGCATTTAGCCTCCTTAATAATGCATGACAGTATGACACCAGATGGCACCACCCCTTCTATGCCTTGTTTAGATTGCCTCAAAGTTCCAAGTTTTTTCACTCTTTCTCCATCACATCAATTTTTGGACGTATGCATGGAGCATTAAATGTAGGTAAAAAAAGTAATTAATTGCACAGTTTGGTTGTAAATCACGAGACGAATCTTTTGAGCCTAGTTAGTCCATGATCGGACAAAGTTTGTCAAATACAAACGAAACGTGTTACAGTGTCCAGATTGCAAAAAATTGCAATCTAAACAAGGCCCTGGTCGACAAAACACATTAGTATGAATTACGTAGATCTGGGGTTCATATATGATATTATAGTGCTGTTGCTTTCTACAAATGTACTCCCTCCATTACAAATTATAAGGTGTTTTGCCTTTTCTAGTTATTTTGTATCTAGACATCATAGTGTATATGTAGGTGCATAACAATAAAAACTATGTATATAAAAAAATCAAAACATCTTATAATTTAAGAGAGAGAGAGAGTAACGAACTTATACATATAGTTAAAGAATGATAAGAGGCAACATGATAAATAAGAAAACTGATGACTAGAGGGACTAAATCTGAGAAAAGAAATTTTAGATAATGGATGAGATGAACTGACACAGGTTGTTGGTTAGGTTCGTTGTGGTGCAAGTTGTCTATCTAGAGTCCTTGATGACTTGCTATGAACGTTGAGCATCTCTATCAGATTGAGAAAACTCAATCTCCTTTCCCTATAACCAATGATAAATGGGATTTGGTAGAAAAAACTAGCTTTATCAAATTCCCTTTCTAAATCCCATTTCTCAATCCCTAGATCCCTCAAAAAGAAAGGGGGAGGAACAAGGAACTTTTATCAACTCCCTTTCTTCTATCAACTTGCGACCACCATCGGACCGCATCGATCTACGCCCGGGCTCAACCTAGCAGAGGGCCACCGCATGAGCCGGCCATGTCGGGAAGCCATCATGCCAGGTGTAGGGGCTCCTCACGCACAAGTTATAGAGGAAGAGGAAAGTGCACAGGCGAGCGCCGGGTGCCAAGGCTCCACAAGCACGAGCGAGGGAGGAAGGAAGAGGAAAGAGGACAGTCGAACGTCGGACACCGAGGCTCCACACGCACAGGTGAGGAAGGGAGGAAGAGGAAAGAGAGGAGAGAAAAAGATATTAGTGGCTCCCGCATAATAAAAGGGGGAGAAGACTTTCATAATCTGCTGCAGAAGCACTTCCCTATAACATGTATCTTCGTTTTCTCAGTCCCCTACAACAAATTTCAAGGGAAAGGAAAAAAAGAGACGTAATGCTTGAAGTATGCGCTATTTTGTTTAAAGCCTCTCAGTTCTGGTCAGAGATTTCATGTATATATTATAGGTACGTGCACATTGGAAATGGTTTATTCACAAGTCCTTCAACTTCTGGGTTGAAATTTTTGAAGTGTCTATCGGTTTCACAAGATCATTTAATTTATCTTTTAATCAGTTTTAATATGTACATGATTTGACTATATCTGTATTGTTTTGCTCAATATATATAATGGTGGTTCTCCACAATACTTCATCAGATGATGCTTGTCAACTAAAAAGAAAAAGGGGAAACGGTGTTTTTGCCCCTGTCTCGGAAGCTCAATTGTGATTTTACCCTTATTTTTTCAACTTTGTGATTTTACCCCTGTTATTTTGAAACAAGGAGCCGTTTGCCCCTGGTTTGGATGTCCGTTATTTAGGGGCTGATTAAACGATTTTAAAAAATAAAACACATAAAATCAAATGCAAAATGACTAAAATGCACCTTCCTCTTCATTCTTATCCCCGCTCGTTCTCTTCGCTGCTATCCGCTCCTGGACTTGCCGGAGCCGCTGCTGCTCCACATCCTGGGCTTCCTCACCGACGCGCGGTCGTGGCACCGCGCCTTGTGGCTGGCGTACACCGGCTCCTCATGGCGGGGGCCAGGCGCCACGCGCGCGCGCGCTCTTGCTATGCTGGGACCCATGGTCGGACGCGTTCCTCTACCTCATCAGGCCGTCGTCTTTGCTTCCCGACGCTGGAGCGGCTCGACCTCTCGCTGGTGTCGCGTGGGGCCACCGTTTCTCTCTCCTCCATGGCGCCGTCCGCTGCCGATGCCGTCGCGCCGTTCGTGACGGCGGAGGAGGTCACGGGCCGAACGCTTTTTATCGCGGCGCGCCTCGCCTACTACTTCCCGCCGTATCCTCGCTCGTCGTCTCTGCGCGACCCCACCACGCTTCTTGACCTCACACACGCGACTGGAGGTCCCGCGTCCATAGCGATGTCAAGCTTCGTCTTGGCGGCAGCAGCGCCCGCCCGGCCTTGACTTCGCGCACGGATCTCGAGCCGCTCCTCGGGATTGCCCGAGCTTAGGGCGCTCGACCTCTCCGATTTTCTCTGCTGGGACGGAGGACATCGAGCCGTTGCCAACTTCCGCCGCCAAGAACGGCCAACTAAGTTCGCGACGTCATACAGTCTTTCAGAGAGCCGCCACCTGCTCGCGCTTTCTTAGACCGGAGCACGAGATCGAGAGCTGCCCGTGCACTATCCACTCGCCTCCCCCGGCGGCGTTCGCTCTAAGACAACAGACAGCGCCTGCACGGCCTGCCCGGCCCGCCCCGCCCCCGTCCCCGTACCCTGGGCTGCCCCGACTGACCCTGCGCCCCGGCTAGGGCCCCAAAGACCGCATCTCCGGTGGCAGCGGCATGGCGGACGGTTGACCCTGGCCACAAGAACCGAGCCTCGGCCAGATAGGGGCAAAATCACAATTAGGCATAAAAACAAGGGGCAAAATTGCATGGGCATTCATGTCTTTTGTACAAAGTTTAACACCGTTAGGGGTGGATGACGGAGCAGGGGCAAACTGGTGCTTCGTGAATGGCACAGTAGGGGTAAATTCACAAAGTCAAAAAAATAGGGGCAAAATCACAATTTCGATACAAAACAAGGGTACAAACACAAGAGCCCCAAAGAAAAAAAAAGAATCCTTCATTGTCCAACTTGTCACCACAATTGCCCCCATTGTCTCGGCTCTATTGCATCCTTTGGGCTAAGGGCTTGTTTAGTTTGCAAAATTTTTGGTGAAATGGCACTGTAGCACTTTCGTTGTTATTTGGCAATTAGTGTCCAATCATAGTCTAATTAGGCTTAAAAGATTTGTCTCGTGAATTTCGTCTAAACTGTGTAATTAGTTTTATTTTTTATTTATATTTAATGCTTCATGCATGCATGCAAAGATTCGATGTGACAGAAAATCTTGAAAAATTTGACATTTTGGGAGGGAACTAAACGGTACCTAACTGCATCCATTACTGCTGGCAGCCTTGCTGGGTGGTTGTCTGGTTGATACAGATTCTGGTTGATACAGACACACACACCCACCACCCAAAAAATAAATAAAAAAACCAAAACACACACAAAATAGGCCATAGCGTTTGCTCTGTTGCGTCTTTAGGCTAACCGCGTGCACTACTACCCAACCTTGCAGGGTGGTTGTCTGGTTGATAAATATAGGGTACTGATGCACTAAGCTACAATGTTGGCAACTAACAGGTCCTTAAAACGCCGGCCATGCTCTTGCGTTGCAATCAAGCAAAGACGATCTAGTGATGAGTAGTTGTATATATAGTCCATAGGAAATTGAAGATGACATGAGACAGAAGGATAATGAAACAAACTAAACAATTAATTAAGATGCATATAGATAGGACATGGAGGAGGAATGGCACATTGCCGATCGATTAATTTGCATATATATATATATGAAAGTATTGTTGGACGGCTTATGAACCAAACGAACAGGACGTAAACCAGTCGCATTGTATATAAGTCATGGTAGTAGGGTTGAGTCGTTGTATTGGCGTGTAGTAGGCTATGCATACAAGTCATGGTAGTAGGGTTGAGTCGTTGTATTGGCGTGTAGTAGGCTATGCATACAAGTCATGGACAAGTCATAGTAGTAGGGTTGAGTCGTTGTATTGGCGTGTAGTAGGCTATCCATACAAGTCATAGTAGTAGGGTTGAGTCGTTGTAGTGGCGTGTAGTAGGTATACATACAAGTCATAGTAGTAGGGTTGAGTCGTTGTAGTGGCATGTAGTAGGCTATACATACAAGTCATAGCAGTAGGGTTGAATACAGCCAGCAAATGCACATGCACGAACAGCCATCCAGCCACCAAACAAGAGGAAGATGAGGACCACATTCCCTATCGATCCTGTGCTACATGCGGTGCATGCGTCGTGCTAGCTGTTCGTTGTTAGTTGAAATTCAATGCAAGTCTCGCTTCGGCGAGAAGCTATGGATCGATCGAGGAGTACTACTGCATATCTGCTTCATGATTATATTAATTATTAGGTCCTCTTAGGAGATCGATTATTTGGCTACAATCCCAATGGTTACCCAATGAGCTAGTGCACTATGTTCATTATTAACGCTCATTTTTTTTCGTTGTACAACATGATTATTATTGCTTCTGCTTATAGCTGGATATATCAGCGCGTGTTTAGTTGGTGAAAGTTGAAAATTTAGCTACTGTAGCACTTTCATTTTAATTTGGTAAATAGTATTCAATTATTGACTAATTAGGTTCAAAACGTTCGTCTCGTAATTTCCAACCAAACTATGTAATTAGTTTTTTTTCGTCTACATTTAATGCTCCATGCACGTATCGTAAGATTCGATGTGATAACTACTGTAGCACTTTTTGAGAATTTGGGGTGGGAACTAAACACACGCTCAAGCTCAGGTACGTGTTGTTTGTCGTCGTCGTTGTCCAAGTTGTCGATCGCAGCAAAACTGGCTGTGATAAAAGACCCGTACGCAAGCTGGCTTGTTAAGATCTCTTGATTCGGT